GCGAGGAGGAGCGTGGCAGAGGCTTGCACTGTAATAAATCTTCAAAAACGTACACAAGTGCCGTGTGTTTTGATTGATCCCCGGTGTATCAGAGGGAGACACACGGACTGCGGAGGCGGAGGGCCCAGCGCTTCCCAGAAGTGGACAGGGTGGGCTTCCCGGAGGACGGCACAGGGCGTGTGTCGGGGCGGCCAGTGCAGGGCAGGGAACACTGCTAGGGTGCTGGCGACAGGCCAGGTTGGGGCAGGAGTTGGCTCATTAGGCCAGGGTGGGGCCCAGGAGGCCTCCGGTTGCGCTGGTCCCACAGGTGACAACGGTTGAAACCTGGGGATGTTCGTAACCGGGGGTCTGGGTTTGTGTCCCAACTAGGCAAGCTTCCCTGTGTGACTCAGAAAAGCCAGTTAACCTCTCTGAGCCTGTTCCTCCTCTGCAGTGGAACAGACGTCACCATGCTCCTGCGAGGAAGGGCTTGGGTGGGAACAAACTGAGAGTGTCACCTCCCCCAGGCCGAGTGGGAGCTCAGCAGAGAGGCCACGGTCACTGTGCCAGGCCCGGCAGGCGGCAGGAAGGACCCAAGGGATCGATGGAGTCAGCATGAACCCCAGGGCTAGGCACGCAGTGACCGGTGACGGCAGAAATGCTGCGTGAATAAACAAAGCTAAAAGAAGGCAGAGCAGCTGGCCGAACTCCTACTGGAAGCCGAAAGGAGATGGTGCCAGGGGACAGGAAGCATTCCTGCCGTGCTGTCCCTCAGCCCCAGCAGGAGGAGGGAGGCTGGGCGGCAGGTGTGGGCTGCACGGACCGGCGACTGCCCTGGAACTTTTTGCCCCAGAAAGCAAAGGACCAAAGCCCACAGCTTCCAGTAAACTTGAGACTCCAGTCCCCTTCCCGACCCTGCCCCCGCTCCTCCAAGGGGCTGAACCGTGCTGGTTCCGTGGCCCACTGTGGCCTGGACCTAAGGCTCCTCACAGTGGCGCCTCTGGCTGCTGGCGGGATCGCGCTGCTGTGGGCAGCACCATCCGGAGCCGTGTCCCTGCGTGGCCGTGCCCTGCTTCCCAGAACTCCTGAGGGGGCTGCGGGAGGGGCCGGCGCCCTCAGCAGAGGTTGCCCAACTGCCGAGAGGCAGGACCAGTGCCCGCGCCCATGTGTTCGTGGCTGCCCCGTGCTTGTCCTGGCGGCTGACAGCCCTCCCACTCCCGTGGGTGTGTGTGATGGCTAAGGTGACTCTGACGCCCTGCTCTCTTCCCACGGATCCCTGCTCCTCCCTGTGCCCGCGTGGCCTTGTCACAGTGGCATGTGACAGGTTCCTGTCTGTCCCCAGGCTGCTGACCTAGGGTGCCCGGGTCTTCTAATAAAGATTTGGTCACAACTCTAGCGTAGTCAGCTTATCCAGTATGTCCCGTACTGCTCCTTTGGAGTTTTCTTATGCCCTGTTTGCAAGCTGTCTCCCTCGCCAACCCCAGACCACGAAGATTGAAATCCACAGTCAAGTAAGCACCAGTGATCCTCAGGCAGAGCCGCCCCACCCACATGGAGGATGCCACCCTCGCTGCCCGGCCGCAGCTGCAGCCCCAGGTTTTCTGGTGCTGGGTCCCTGAGCTTCGATTTGATAGGAACGCCTGCGTAGTGCCGGTGGAGGTCAGCCCAGGCTGGGCAACTTAGTGAGACGCTGTCTCAAAATAAAAACATAAAAAGACTGGGGATATAGCTCAGTACAGAGGCCCTGGGCTCATTCTCCAGTACTGCCGAAATATGAATAAATGAATAATTAAATAAATGCAGGCAAGCCGTTGAATCATAGACAGATGGAGTCACTGCCTCTGCACTGTGTTGTAGACTCTGTTCTAGTAAAGTGAGTTCACGTCAAGGATCCCTGGCCATGAGGTGACAACCAGGAGCCGCATACCTGGCAAAGAGGCTCTCACAGCTGCCCATCACCTGGAGCGTGAGGCTCCTTGGAATTTCTGGTGTGACGGCAGCAAGGTCCCTTTCTGACCCCTACCCAGGGCCCTGGTCAGCCATGTTGCCTGGGAGCCTGTCCGTGTGTGTGTGTGTGTGTGTGTGTGTGTGTGTGTGTGTGTGTGTGCGCGCGCGTGCTCTGC